CGTGACACAAGTCTGGCTCTCCTACCTGGAGAGATCTGGACTTTGCAGCCTGAATCCTGCTGGATTTTGTTAATCTGTTCACCTCCTCTGCCAATGACTAGGTGGAGAAAAAGGAAAAAATAGGAAGGATTGGTGAGGGTACCCTAGCGCTGAGAAGACTGTGGCAGGGGTTCCTGGCCTCCCCTCCCCAGAGAGCTCCGCCATCCTCCCTGCCCAGAGTGGACAGGTGAGAGCGGAGCGGACTACAGGAGGCCTGCTCAGACCAAAGGCTCTGGGCCAACAGGGGCTCCCAGGGCGCGGTCCCTGACAGGGCGTGATGGGCATCCCACAGTGACCCACTCACTTAGTCCCACCATGCCATCTGGGACCCTGTACTCTTCTGTCATTGAAGTCCTGCAAAGACAGATGGTAACAATCAGTCTCAAGTGGGAAAGAAGACAGGGGGAGGGGAATGGAAGAGACGGGAGAGTCTCCAGAAGAAAAGGCCGCTGGAAGCCAGAGCTCCTAACCTGTTCCTAGGCCACAGCTCCTAACCTGCAGGGTCCTTGGTGCTTCCAGCCTCTGGCCCTGCTTCCCACCAAGGGCGGGCCTAAGCAGAATCCTAAGAGAGTACAGGACCCCCTCTCCCCACAGCAAGCCACTCAACCTCTCGAGGACTCATCTTCCCCATTCGGGCCATGAGAGGCTTGGTTGAGGTCAGCATGGCCCCTGAACTAGTGCTGTTCCACTGATTCAGGACAAGAGCAAACACTCAGACACGTTTACAGAATTCCAATAGTCATTTCAGGTCTCTAGACTCAAAAGAAAAAAGATTTGTAACTTTTTCATGTCCTTTCTCTAGTAAGCCCTTACTATATTTTATGTAATTAAAAAGTGAAACAACGTGGTCCTTCACAAACAATTCTATGTCAGATCCACTGGACTCGTTCTGGGGGGGCAAAAAAGTTAAGAACCCCAAGCCCCATCAGTTCTCAGGGCTCAAACATTTGCAGAAAGCGGACAAGAAACCCACGGCCAGCCCCCTGCCCTTCTGGGAAGATGGCTGTCTGCTGAGGGTCTCACCACAGTGCACAGAGACCACCCCCTCCTTCATCATGGCCACGAGCTCCCCTCCCCTCCCTAGGCCCTACACACAGACCAACATAGGAGCAAATGCTGCTCCTCTGCCTCCTGGGCCTCTCTCTGGCCAAGTAGCAGTGGGGACGAGGCCGTAGAACGGTGTACCCCCAGACACAGCTCTCCCCACATCAGCAAGGAAGGCCAGAAGACAGCTGACAGACAAGGAAACAAGCGTTCTCCAAATCGCGACTTACCTGGGGGGAGGATGGATGGGTCCAAGTTGAGAACTGATGGCTGCAGAGAGAAAACCCAAAGCAAAGATTGGCCTGGCTCCTCCTTGGGACCCTGAACACTGCTGGCCCCCTGGCACTCCTGCCTGCGTGAGGAGTGGCTGGAACTTACTAGAGTGCTTCTGAGCCTTCCTGAGCGCTCAAGTGTGATAAGCCCACCTCACATCAGCACACCCACTGACTGTCCCTGCCTCAATCTCTGGGGGCTCTGGGATCCCTAGAGCTCATGGACCCCAGATGATGAATACCTAGAGCCTCCACAAAGGACAGATGCCCTCTGCCTAGAGCTTCCAGCTCCCGACTCCTAAAAATTTCTTAAAGACCCTGACACTGCCCTCTGCCTGCATCATCCAATGGACTTACAGTCTCCCTGGGAAGCCAGTTTCTTGCTCTCCGGTTGGTCTGTGAAAGAGAGAGGATGTCAGATGCTGCACCCACCCACCCACAGCTGCCTCAAATCTGATGCTGGTGCCACACGGCCTGGCAAACAACCCCCCCTCCCCCACCCCCACCCCCAGAGCCCAGACAGGAGAGTAGCAGGGACCAACCCCAGAAGAGGGACAGACTTCCATCAGTCCCACCACCAGCACTAAGGGTGAAACAGTCCTTCCGAATGGGAACAAGGATGGCAACACTCGAGTCCAGGGGCAAGGAGGGCCTGGGTGAAAGTCCGGTTTGGGCTGATCCCCACACTGATCACTTTGGCTGCCGTGGGCAGTGCTGCATGCCCTAGGGCCAGCCACACTGCACTTCTGTGGGGCCTCGATAAAACCGTGAGCATTTCCCAAGCCTACCAGAAGGGGAGGAACAATCTTGAGAACTTACAACTTGGACCTAGTCACAATCTGCTCCTCTCAGCCACCTGATACCCCAGAAAGGCAGCCCGAACAAAAAGAATGAACAAAGCTGGGATTGCTGAGGTTTTAAAAGACCAAATGGCAGTGGGCTTCCCCCTGACTCTGAGCCAAACAAAGGCTACCCCCAGGCCTTCCTCCCAGCAGGTAGTTACAGTTACCTCCATCTTCTAACTGCCTCTTTTGGCCCCCAAAACCAAAATCAGGAGTGCTGTTATTCACTGTGGTAGCAGCGTCGCCTCCAATTTTGGCTGCGATCTAGAAACAAAATTGTAAGCACACAAGATTACCACCAAAACCCAACCTTCCCTGGTGCTCGGCTCAACTTCTCGGAACCTACCCAAGGACTGAGCGTTCAAGAGTCATCCAGGAATTTCAAAACTCCCTTTCTGGATGAGATTTGTACCTACGCTGTTCGTGATCCGATGGGCAAGCCACACTGATCTGCTCTCGAGAGGGTCCCCAGGTTGCCTCCACGAGGGAACCAGGGAACCAGAACGTGTGACTGTAGCCCCACTCTTCTGAGATGTTAAAGAGCACAACTTTCCTTTATCTCCCTCACCCTCAAAATCTTTGTATCTGTTGAACAAACTGTAGGGACGTTTTTGCTTAAAGGCATCCGAAACCTTCGTTCCACCAAAACAAAAGACCCTCTTGGGGCACACATGTTACATCTTAGACACGTGAAGAACAACTTCAAACAAGCCTGATCCAACAAATTTAAAACCAGAGTCCGTTTGTGGGATTATCACAAGTTTTCCAAAGAAACACAAACCAGGAGCTAAGCTGAGGATCTATCTTCCACCTCTTCCCATTTTTTTTTTTTTTTTAACACTTGGGAGCCAAAGCTCTTAGGATGAAGACTTTTTCCTATTAACTCGCCCCGTTACAACTGCTTCTCAGTTAAAGCGCTTCGGTGGGCGTCCAGATTAAGTGCACATTAGAACCCTACCTGTCCCATCTCATAGGTGAGAAAGCCACAGACCACACTGGGCGGGGAACAGGGCGTTCACCTAACGGGACCTCCCACTCTGCCCTGGAGGCACTGAACAACCCAGGGAAAGCACTCTTGCGGGAATGCACTCAGTCGGCCCCCAGCTGGTCGGCTTCCCGGGAGGGCGGCAAAGTTCTCCCATTCTACAGGCCTCCTTCCCTCCAGGACGTGGGGAGGCCGCAAATGGAGCCGGGGAGGTCAGTCACACCAGCATGTGACACCTCCACGTTACCATCACGCCTCAAAACACAGTGGTGGGACCCTCCCCCCTTTCCAAAAGAGGCAGACCACGCTTTCAAGGCACCGGAAGCATCAAAAAGAGCCAGCCCTAATGCCTACCCTCCCCATTTCGCCTAAGTGCTCGGCCGCTCTGATAGCAGAAGGGTCCCTCTTCCACTTTCCAGGCTGAAGAGGAAGAGCTGTTTTCCTCTCGAAGTCCCTTCTTCCCGGGGAGCAGACAAAAATGCGACTGGGCTGGGGGCAAACAGGGCCCTCTACCCTGATGGGGAGATGAGGGCAACGCAAGACCGTCCCCCGGGGAAGGTGGACACTTTGCTTCCAGGAGAGGGGAGCACGCCCTCGGGTGTCCTAAGAGGAGGGCTCCCTAAGTGAGTCCCCGCTTTCCGGAGCCCCTTGAACATCCAGGGGCCACTCCTGGCGAGCCCCCGGACGCCCCATGCCCCTGCAGGGGGTCACCCGCTGGGGGCCACGGGAGACACCCAGAGCGGCCCTGGCCCCCGCCTACCGCCCCACGTGACCCCGCGGCGGCCTCGCCCCCCCCACCCGC